ACATGAAGAGATTTAAACCAAACAAAAGAATAATGTTAATGTCTTCATTCAAATAGAACATGCTAATAATAGCATCCTAAGTTGCTATTTTTCGTCAAGTGTACAGAATGACACAGAACAGATCTGTATAAACAATTCCTCTTTAACTGGTACCTTGAAGGCCTCAATGCTCTAAATCTATTATAATGTATTAACTTAATGAAGTATATAAATTACACATTTCACTGTTTATCAACAACAATCATTTTAATACATTCTCGCAATCAATATTTTCAAGCTCGCCATCCACTTCTCAGTATTTCTGCCCATGAAATGAACAATAATGTTCTGTACAATGGACAGAGATCAAGAATTTCAGTAATTAAGTTCACTTCTTGGTGTTAACAATTTGTATTTGTGCCAGCGAAGATATTCAAAGCAAAAAGATGCCATCTTGCTGAGAAACTATGAGTTAGGTTATTCTAGCTAGTGGTCAGAGTTGATAAAAGTACTATTCATATCTGGAATGAAAAATTAGAAACTGCAAATTCATGTCACTTAACGTTAGTGCTAATTGCAGCAACTGCCTCTCTGCAGTTAAGCAACATCCTGAGTAGTACTGAAGTTAAACAGGGAAGGAGTGCTGTATGGGAACTAGTGTTATCAATTCTAGTGCGCAAAACACTTCATAATGATCAACTTGCTTTTCATGATAAAATAAAAGTTCTTCTAAATATCATATTATCTTTCCAAAAGAAAAAAAATTACTGAACATTAGCTACATTTTCGTGGTCCGACTAAAGCAGACTGATGCTAACTGCATGCTAATGAAACTCATAAATATGTTCTAGTTGCATTCCTTAAAGAGTTACCTTACCTTTCTTTCAATAAAACTTCATTTTAAATTAATTACAGGATGAAGTAATCAAAGCAGAATGCATCCTTAAGAAGCTTCCACTCATTAACAACAACTTTTATAATTTTATCTTGTTTTGAAAGTAAAAACAGCAGAAGTATTTAAAATAGAGGAAATGATTTTAAGGGAAAGTATCTAACTTCCAGTAAAAATCCACAGCTACACCAAACAGCCTTTGAATTGACAGCATAGAAGTTACAGTGATATGAGTAGGCAGTTGAACTACAGAAATGCAGCCAAAAGGAATTTTAAAAATGAAATAAATTGTGCTAACTGTAGACCAACAATGCTTTTAAAATAAATGGAATCCTGTTTAATGCATTTTGGTCACCTAATTTCAATTATTTAAAAAACACAGTTGTCATTCTGTAATTGCTACTACAGGCAGTATCTTTGTGTTATTATAAGGAAAAGCAATTAGAAAGCAAAGTCTGGGCGTCTTTGGGCAAAATTTCAAAACAAGTCTTTTAAAGTAATGATTCCAAGTTTTTCTTCAGAACATCTAAACACTTTTTTTCCCCTTCATGCAGGGCTCAAGACAAAGGAGTTAAATATATGAACGTTATCTATATTTTCATTTCAATGATTAAATGACATATTTACGGACTTTTTATTATGCAGCCTTTGCTTCTGTGAACTGAACCCATCAAGTTTCCATTGGCCTTAAAAATACCCCAGGAACTGAAATAGAGATGTTGACACAGCTTTGCTGCATAAACTCTCTGATAGCTACTACAGGAATGGAAGTTATAACATCAGTTACTGGCTTCTTCGAGTAAAGAAGGTAGTTCAGGTACTGTTTTAGTTCCATTTGTGCTTCAGTAGCTGATGAAGTATCATAACATTTAAAAAAAATTATGATACGCTTTTTTAAAAATGTAAATTTAAGAAGTACGATAACGCACTATGCTGATGACTGAAAAAAAAAAAAATCCTCTGTACCCAAAACATCTGCTGTTTGAGGAAGGATTTGAGGCATACTGAAACAGCCAGAGTAGATCTGTAACGCAACTGGAATAGCAAATGTACTTGAAAGAGTAGGAGAATTATTTACTTTGCTAAATATAAATCTATAAAGACTCGGATTCTATCATTTGGGAAGCAAATTGTACATGTATTGATGTCCAACCTGCTCAACAGGAGTTCTGGGCGCACAAATCCTAGAAAAGTGGCAAAAATTTAGAAATTTTTTTTTAATGGATAATACCATTACAGTAATAGGGACATATAACAAAATACATTCTACAGCATTTTTCACCACAGTAAGTTAGAACGCAATGAAAAAAGCCCTGTGAAAAGGACCACTCTGAAACTTACACCCTCATATTACAGTCCTCCATAGAGTAAAGTATTTCCTGGTAAATCATCCCCAATGACTGTAAAAACAACACGTAAAGCCTCTATCAATCCTGTGATGTGTTACTAATAACCGAATGCAAGAGATAAACAGAAAGGGGTTAAGTGATTTGTCAAAGGTGACACATATCAGAAACAATAAATCCTAAATTGACTTCTAGTTTTGTTGTCAAATTGCCAAGCTAATCCTAGTTACATTTCCTTCAAAATAATTAAATCATCCGAAACCTAAATGTTGTAAAATTGTAGCCTTTGCAGATAGTTAGTTTTGCATTTATCTTGTAAATGAAGTCCCTTCCCCCTTACTTTTTTTATAAATGATCACAGAGTACTAACTTACTTCACAAGTAGCATAATTTATGTTGGTGCGGTTATCTGCAGATTGAGATATCACTGAAAACGAGCAGAAGCTCTCTTGCCATTATTAATGTAATGGCAACAGTCACATCATGAGAACAAAGTATAGTATACATAGAAATATATATATAACCCACCCATATATATATATATAAAACAAAGACCTGTTTCTCAAACAAATATTTCATGAACAGAAGGTATCTACAAAAACAAGTCTATACTGAATAAAACACAGTATTAAACTTATTTGTACATTCACTGAGAAAATTTAAGAAGCAACATTTTATCTATTCCCAATTACAAATACAAGACACACAACTTTCTGAATTGGAAGTCTGTCTTTTATAAAATGCTTCTGCTTTTTCCAATCCCTCTTAGTTCCAACTGTTTTTCCTTGCAGAATATTTTGGTTCATATTCAGTATTCAGCTGTTTTTAAGGTAAAAAAAAAAAAATTGAACCTCAAAAATATGACTAAGGTATCTCATCATCTTCCCTTGTGATTATCTCCCTGGCTTGCTGTGGCAAAGCACATTGAGTTTTTGGATCTCCAGCATGTGCCTTTAGAAGACAAGTTATTTCTTTCTTATTTCCTTCTTTAGCTTCTCTCAAATTCCTATACTCTTTTTTTGGCACTACTGTAATTTTGACAGCCATCCAGCGTTGATTTCATTTCTAACAGGAGAAGACATTTAAACACTCAAGCTTTATAGATTACTACTTACTTTCAGGTTTTGAATCCACTACTGCATGATGCATCTCTTTCAGCTGGAGCTGTACTCTTTGCAGTCTCTGCTCTGCATGGAACAACTTTTGAGAGACAATTGTACACATACATAAGCTCATTCCTTTGTAATGTATATTCAAACAACGGCCAAAACAAAAGAGCATCAAGAAGAATCCCAAACACAAAAACCAGAAGCTTTAAGCATCTGGTGATCATCTGATTCACAAGGTAACATGCCAAAACAAATTTTCAACTGGGTTTATTTGATATTCTCTAGTGTTAATTAAAGGAAGTATTACTCTTGAACTATTCCCAAGTGATATTTTTTATAGCAGAAATTCATTAAACAATTTTTTAAACCTAAAATATTAGTGTCTCAAATATAAGAACAACAAAAAAGACAGCTAGAACCAGGACTGCAGTAGGTAACTATCTTTATACTGCAGATCTTGAAATGCAGCTGAACTGTCACAGCAATCCACTGTTCTAACGCTGAGCCAAGTTGAGAACGTGCTGGAGAGCTTGTTGCCAAACAACACCCAGTTGATTAGCACTCCTGTGATTTAGAGAGATATGTATGAAAAAGTGGAATTAGCTGGACATGACGTTCATTTTAATTGTAATCTCACCTAGATTCAAGAAAAGACCCAACAGCTGAAAGACTATCCAGTAATATCCACACTGATTTGAAATTCGGATATAGACTACAATACTAGAAATCTGGGGCTTTCCTCTTTTAATACACCTTTCAAGTTCACGTTATACTTGAAATCAATAGAACTTGGTGTGATGATATTATAATATGGCACTCGAGTTTGTTAAAATACCTTGCTTTGACAATATGTTTCAGGAATAAAAATCCATCCTTAGATTCAGATGCCAGCTGCTTCCAGTGCTTCCTATGACACATCATCTTCGTCAGACTTGAAGACCAAAACCCCAATTTGCTCCTGAATACACACCCTCTCCTCTAAACCACAGTGAAAAGCTGAGGTATTTGCTGCGTTACTTGCCATTTGAAATCTTAGTGCAAACGCACAGAGATATAAATCAAGCTAAGGAAACATTTACTCACTACCGTAAAGCTAATGATCTCTCTCTGGGTGCTACAATAATAAGTCATGGAACATTTCCTGGGACTGCTAAACGATGATGTCAGTGGCAGCTGAGGCAGCCAAGTATCTTGAATGAGGTGTTCAAAACTTGCAGGGCCAAGACTCTTCCTTTAAAACGTACAAAGATATTCTTATTTTAAATGGTGTTTAATTTTCTGGTGTTGGGAGAACCTCTGTACTGTGGTCTCGGATGTTATTCTTTAAACACATTATCCCCAAACAAACGTCAATAACTATTTATTTTAATGGGTATACTTTCATGCCAATACCTGATTTTTTTGTTCTTGTTTCTGTTGAGCCAAAGATTCTTCTCTCTCTTTTTCTAAGCGAAGCTGTCTTGCTATTTCGAGCATTCGTTGATGATTTTGTACTGTCTCCACCTACAGCAAGAGGATAAATAGTGCATGTTACTGTCAAATAGTTGAGAAATATATTAAGGCGATCATATGTCTCACAAGCCCACTTAGCACTTCCTTTCCATACATGTTACTACTCAGAAATGACAGCAAAGCACTGGACTCAAGACTCTTAAAAGCTCTGGACTAATGCCTAGGGAGATTCCCTGTGGGTCAATTAGTTATTCGATTCCTTCCTAGACATTCAGTGTGTTTATCTTAATCCTTGTTTGCATTCCAAAATCAGAGTTGCAAGCCAAGGATTATGACACTGAAATGTAACAGTGTTACTTCTCTTATTACCCTCTTCTTAAGACGCTCCACTCTTTTGATGAGTTGATCTTTCTCCTCTTCCATCGCACTGATATCCTGAAAGGCAGCAAAAACAGATACAGAAATGTTAATTAATTTACAATATAATATGGATTAGACGAAATTCTGTTCAAATTAATATGAAAATCAGAATTCTTCTCTGAATACACTGAAATGGTTATAACCTACAATCAGAATATCCAGGATTCCAGACTCTCTTCTCTCTTACTTCCCCCTCAAGTCCCACTCTCTTTATACTAACAATACTTTATCTGCATCCTTGAGTATTCTTGTGACTACTTAAAATAAAAGCAGGTGGATTTCTCTGAAATAAAAGCAAGCAAACGAAAACAACCAAGCAAAACCAGTATGAATTCAACATCTGAGGCAGTTGAACATATATTCTTAAATGTTACCATTGCTACCAACTTCCTGGCAGGCAATTTTGCATTAAGTTGCATAGGAGTGTTGTTTGCTGCCACTTTTTCCATTGAAATCATGTTAAAAGAGACGCTTGCTAGTTCTAAAACACGGATCTTATTGTTTTCCTTTAATCCTATTTTACAACAACAGGACTCCGCAGATTGATACTAATGAGAGAAAGGGAAATACATGATGCAAATTTAGGCCCATCTCAACGTCCTCTTAGCTTATGCATACGTCTCATCGGAAAGCTGGATATGCACTTAAATATTTTGCTGAAACAGGGCAATTATCTTTACTTAACACCACAACGACACAGGATCACCATTTTTGTTGACGACTTAAGCCCTTAGTTCATTCAACAGCCTCTGAAATTATTACCCTATATCAGAAAAGCAGAAGGCTTTAAATCAGTTTGTGTTCATGGGGAAAAGGGAGTTCTAATATTTGAAAATCATGCTGAACACAGTCTTGGCAGCCTTGTTTCTCAATCTGCTTCAGAAAACGCAATTGTAAGCATGAGCGATGGCTTTCTACTCTGTTTGCCAACAAAGGACAGTTTTAGAAAGACAGCCGCGGTACCTATCAGTTATGACCTCTACAACACATGCACTGCAATGAGTCCACAAAACCAACAAAAATAAGAGACATTCAAAAAAATCTAAACAAAAGCCATGCAATTTTGTTAGGTTTTTACCCTTCTTATTTCTGCAGTAGAGAAACCAGATGTTTTGAGCTGCTCACATTCCTTATGTAGGTTTTTGAATGCTTCCATAAGCTCTTCATACTATAAAATGATGTAAAAACATGAAAAATGAGCTCTGTGGCTAAGGGTTTTCAGACCAACATGTTGCTTTATTACTGACAATAAATATAAATGTTCATATATAAAAATATATTTATATATATATACAGCAAGCACAACATTTAAAGAGAGTTTTCATCACAAAAGTTTATCAACTTATACAGAAAAAGAACCACAGTGAAATATTTTCTGTTTGAAGGTGCACTCAGAAGTTTCAGAATTTCTTCACTGATTTCACTTCTTCCCTTGTAATACATAGTGTATTTTCAAAACAGGAAGATAAGATGTTATCTGAAAGGAACAATGCTACATTAACAAATTATTCTCCCTTACTATAAATCTGAGTACCTCGCATATGTAAATTCATCGGCCCACAAAGGAACGTCTTGATCTCACAACAGTCTTGATCTAAGCACAAGGGCTTGAATTTATAGGATACTGAACTTCAGTCCTGCAAAGCGGTCCAAGAGCACACTTGACGACTTAACATGTAAGAAATCATTTTGATTGTAATTGGGCACCAGGGTCTTGACACGTTGCAGAACTGTCCCCTCAGCATCTCTATATTACAGAGATTAATATTTGTAGTTTGATAGTTGGAAAGAAGTAGACAGTGTGCTACTTCCACACCAGTAAATTGCCCACCAGTAATCTTAAACTGAGAGGCAGTGTGAAAGTCTGTGTGGGTAGAGAAATAACAGGGGACAGAAACAGTTTAGAAATCTGGATAGGAAATAAATTTAGATTAGAAGCTGCCACTCAGTAAGATGGAGAAATCTAAAAAGAGAATATCAAGTAATTTTTTACTTTCTGGAAAGAGCAATCGATATGAACGTTGAACACAACATGGCAACAGCAGAGGCCAGTTCAAACAAAGACATCATATCTCCCAGCAGTGAAGCAGCGATCCTATTTTATAAAACCCTGGGGAACCAGCATCTAGAAAGCTCTGTTCGTTTCTGGACGTTTCAGTATCAGGCACACACTGACAAGCTGGAATGAATTCAAATAACAACAATAAAATGGCTACAGACCTAGACTGAGAAAAAGATAAAATAATGGAGAAGGAGCTTGATTAAATGGCAAATAAAGGTATGATAACGTATACACGCGGTGGATGGTGAAGAACGTGTTACAAAAAAGTGGGAGTAAAAACACAACTGGCCTTCAGTCACTTATGCATTATAGAAGTAAAGTACTTCAACAAATAGCATGTAGTCTCTGAGCAACAGTATTCATGACTGCTGATCTCCAACAGCTTTCCTCTGTGTGGATTCTCCAGCTCTTTCAAAAGGTGAGCTCACTAAGCCTTTCCCTTATCAGGGCATAAAATTTCAAGACCAAAGGCAAGAACTGAAGAAAGGCACAGCAGTTTGCTGGATCGTAACAAAGGGAAGGTTTCTCACTTTCACTGAATAAAAGACGTTATGCAACTGGATCATCTGTACACACGCTACATACACACAAATGACCACAGAAAACCCACAGATTCCAACAGTGGAGAGATTCCTGGCACCTGGGGGCAACGCATTCAAGGCTGGACAGCTAGATTTATATCTAACGTTGCTTACTTTTACAATTACATACTGCAGCCAATCTGATGTCCAAATCACAACACAACTGGGAAAGCGGCAACTCTTCTGACTATCTTGTTTAAATAACTTGGAAAAATACATTTAAGCTTAATACTCTACGCTGATAAAATTTGACCATATTCTAACATTTCCAAACTCTCGTATTTGAAACGTTTCTCATAAAATATAGTATTGCAAGCCTGTCTATCCAATTACTGTAGGTTAAATTCTTTAACTCATTAGTAGCTAAATATTTGCATGGTGGACGTTAAATTACATAAAAGCACCATATTACCCCAGCCTCTATTTTGAATTAGTCAGTAGGGTATTAGTTTCATAAGATAGTAATATTACTGTAATCCCAAAAAGGAACACATCTTACGTAATGGAAATAATGGCGTTGGATATTTATTCATATTGGGACTGTTACATACTGAAAAAACCTACAATCTACATTCCTTTCTCTCATTGTTACCTCTTCTTAGTTATGATAAATTAGAAATTAGATATTGTTAGTAGCAATAAAAAAGAAAAAGGGTTAGTCAAGCTTCAGTCAAGCTACAGTCAAGCTACACAGCTTTGCCAGTGCACAGTTAATAAACGTAGCTACTTGTTATAAACATTCAAAAACATTGTGATTTTGCAAGCCACTGTATATAACAAAAGGCATAGAAAACTGGATAGAAATTAAGTAAATATGTACCTCAGATAATAAAATCTAAAAATATATCTTTGGTTCACTTTGAACTTTACTTTTCAGACCCACCCAGTTTGACGATCTAAGATCAACATTTAATGCTCACAAAAGAAGTAGAAGCATAAAGAGTAGGAATGTCAGTCTGGGAAAAATAAATTTTTGACTTATCCACAGGAAAAAAAGGTCAGAGCAGAACTGGGATAAAACTAATATAAACGTTAGGGGCAAAATATTTTACAATCAATAGACAATTAAGAGATTATGACTTTTGGTCACAATGTTTCCTGGATTGATTAGAACTGATAATTTATAAAGTTAAAAATATCCATGTCATATTTCACAGCAAGAAAAAAAGGCGTTTAAAACTTAAGAAATAAAAAGCTCTCTTCGCCACCCTGATCTGAATATCACTTGGTACCCCGTATTTAACGTCTTTAAAATCTTGTAATGCAATGCTACCTATTAATATACAAGTTTGGGGCTATCTGAAGAAAGGTACTCAAGAAACATAACTTTATTATGAATCTTTGCCTACCCTTGATTCCAATATGCTTTCAACGTAACTCACTTAAACACTTTCATCTCAACAGTAATTCCCCGATTCAATTATCCGTCCTCCTACTGCCACTTTAATTAATTAATGTAAAATGTTGATATTCATGAAAAATGCTACCTGTTTGTTGGTTTCCGCCACAGTATCATCCTGTAGGAACTCAGCTGGCACTTCCAGTTTTACTAAGAAACGTGCCAGGTAGGCTCTTTTCTTAAGTTCATTGGTCCTCTGAAGAAGCCAATGTAAGACAGGATGAATTACAGGTTTGCTTCCAGTAACTAACCCTTGGCGAAATGCACTCCTATACAACAACAACAGAAAGCAAACATCAGCTGCTATCAATAAATCTCAGACTGAGGAACACTGGCTTGGAACAAGCAATTTGCAGTATTTTGACATTCCCTCTCTCTATTTGCCTAATGTCTTTCTTAATGCTATCAAGAGTGAAAGTGTTCATGATGCATTTGCCATTTATGACCTTGCTTCTGCTTGAGACAGATACAAGCCCATACACATAAAAAGGCTAAAGCCTGCAACAGTGGATCTTCCATTTCTCGAAGAATAAAGGCAATCTGGGAAGAGTGTAAGTTTTGCAAATTATAACCTGCTAGCGGAGGGTGCAATGCAGCCTTGGGAGCCTGCTCTGGAAGGGAACTGGAAGGGACTGACCCTGCCAGTCATGCGGCACCCTCTCCTGGCTGACTCTGCAATAGCACCTGATGCAGCAGGTCTCAGGCACAGAGAGCAGGACTGAAGGGCAGTCAACATCTTCAGGAGCTTCTGCCGGCATCACCAATGCCAACTACTACATATTCTGTGGGGACAGCAGAGGAACTGTCTTCAAACCGTTAAACATAACCACTAGGATAATAAAAGTCAAAATACATACAACTACTGAATGGAGGTCATTATCATTGAAGCTGTAAAACAAAGCCAAATCATAGAAATAAACTTGTGATTAAATCAGAAAGTGAAATAATTTATGATGACCATTTTGTCTTTGAACGAGGAAATGGTGACTGGACAAAGTGCAACTGTTCAGGGTATCTTTCAAGCAGCAAAATAATAAATTTAGATGATGCACAGGTTTTTGCTTGCCAAGCCATTTCAACATAGTTTGTCTTTAAGACAAATATGTTGTGCCTTTATTTATAGACAAAAAGATACTTACAAGTCTGATATACTTCCTGGAGGTTTGTATTTAAGGATACCAAGAAGACTCAACATTCTTTTAGCTGTTTGTTCTGGCATTTCCTCTCTAATGTCAACAGCATGCTAAAAAGTTAAAAAAAAAAAAAATTAATCGGTATTTGTACAAGTCGTATTAATTAACTGATAACTTTAAAACATTATCCACTTGATGCAGGATATGTAAACGCAGTGATATGTTTCATACCAAATGCCCTTTTCACAACCAAATTCTCATTCTCTTCTAATGGACTTTTCTGCTAACTGTGTGTTCAGCTAACTTTATTTTAGGCATACATTCTTCCTGGTAAGGGGTCCTCATCTATACAGAAAAATTGATTACTTTCACCGCTGAAGTCACTAATCCTGGCACGACACGGTGCACGTATCTGAGACTCAGGTTTATGAATGAGAGCTTCCAATCTTACACATAGCTTTGGTAGCCTCAAGGGAAAGGGAGTCAATATCCGCTGCTACAGCTGAATCATCGGTTCCTTGATCAGTTCCTGCCCTGGATATGTGAGCAAGACATGGCCTGACTTTTGTCTTAAGAATGCAATTGTCAGTATGAACAATGTTAGGATCTGCATCGTGATTCCCAAGGAAAAATACAGAGTCATCAGTCTTTGAGGGACAAGGATCCAGTATCTTTGGCCTGAGAAACATTTGACAGTTTCCCAAAAACAAGTAGATATACAGACAGAGAGGATTCTTGCCAGGCACATTTATTTCCATGAAGATTCATACAAGCTATTTTGGTAAACCAAACATGCCACAAGACAGACAGAGCCAGCCCTAAATAAAAGCCTTCTGCGCAATTCCTGTGGCAAACCCATTTAAGCAGATGTTCTCAGTCACCCACGTTTGAACACCACTGATCTCCTTCCTTACCTTCGGGTCAATCTCCCCCAGCACATCACTGAGCAGCTGCAACAGCTGCATCGACTCTAAGGAGTCAAACGTGATTAAATTGTAGTTCTTCTTGAAGGGCTCCTGATTGAGCTTCTCAACAATGAACTTGATTTGGTCACTCATGCTCGTGGCCTGGAAAAAACCCGCTGCAGAGGAGACAGAAGAGATGCCAAAAGGCCCCGGCGGGGCCGGGGAGCAGGGAGCGCACCACCCTCACAGAGGCCCCGGGCTGGCCCCCGGGCCCAGCGGGGACCCGGCC